GAATTCTGGGAGTTGAAGTCCACTCATCTTAAAGTGGCCAAGTTTGGACAACACTCCCCTAGAACAACGAAGCAGCATTCCTGTAATCCTTGCATCCTTTCCTGATCTGCCCCACCTCGAAGAGACAGCCCTCCACCAGGGCAACCAGGCGATGGAAGCTGCATCCTTGAATGCCTCCAGAAGTGGGGCACCCCCGACAAGAGCCCCCCGGCCTCTCCCTCCAGTTGCCGGCACTCTGGCCAGAGAGCCCCCCTCGCCCACCATGCGAGAAGGCAGCACTCCCCATTGCAATCTTTCTACACATAAGGCAGGGGGAGGACTCCAGGGGGAGGCAGCAGCAAATGCAGCAGAGTGAAGCAGAGGTGGCCGGCAGGGGGGGGAGTAATTACAGTTCTCTATCAGTTTTGCGATGGGGAGTAACGGGAACCGTCAGCCGCAGCAGCTGACGTGGGTGAACAGCACTGAAGAGCATCTGGGACCCAGTGCTGCAGACCGAGAGGCTCACCCAGAAAATTAGTGGCCCATCAGGGAACGGTGACAATAGAGTTTCCCTTCGCGCCGGTTGAAGCCCGCCTCCCCCAGGCAGGATCAGGATCCCACCCAAAAGACCAAACCAACCCCGTCCATAAATCAGCTCATCTCCTGAATGAAACCAGCAGGGACGTCTCCCTCCCCCCGGCCCCCCAAGCGTGGAAAGAATGCGGAGTTGGACTCCTGCAAGCCGAGGCCCAGCTGCTCCCTTGCAGGAGCATGAGCTGCTCTCCCCTAATCAAAGCCACTCGGTGGTCTCCGTGAAGCGCTCCCGCATCGGGGCCTGCACATTTTTCCTCTTAAAAAAAGAGCGAGGGAGCAAATCGTACGTTGGGCTGCGTGGAAGTATTTTCTTTCACATTCGAATGCAATTAAAGGAGTTAATGAAAGGGCTTGGTGAGGGCGGCCTGTCTGTTGCTCAACTACGTTCCAGGGTGGAAAACGTTCGTGTTCCCTTTTGCGTTTACGTACGGCACTCCTACCCATTTGTCTCGTCTCTGTCGATCGGAGCCTTCCTGGGGGTGGGAAGACAGTGTGACTATGGCCACCTTTGGGGTGGAACCCGACAGATGCGGAGTAGCTTCCACAGCAAGGAAGGACAGGCTTACAACGGGGAGAAGAGGATGCGACATGCCGTGTGTGTAAGGCAGTGTTGTCCAAACTTGGCCTCTTTAAGATGAGTGGACTTCAACTCCCAGAAT